GAAATTAAGTGACTTGCCCAGGGTTATACTGCTAGAAAGTGTCTTAACGCTTGATTTGAATTCAGGTCTTCCTGACTCCACAATGGATACTGTATCCACTGCCTTTAAGAAGACATGATCATCCCAAAATTACCCCTAATTTCAACTACAGGAACTTAATGAAGTAATACAAGAATTGTTAATGCAATCATTGGTAATGATTTTTTCCTTCAGATTCACATACCATTCTACTCCCCCCTATATAACATGCATATGTAACACTACGCATTATAGTTATCTACTAAGCTTAAGTCTTCTCTTTCTAACAGACTTAATAAGCTCAATGAGGGCAAAGACTGGGTTTTGACAAAACTTTGTAAATGTTTATTGAATGAATATTCCATCTTTATGCATAGTGTATAGAGTGCCAGCTGGAAGACTTATCTTCCTGACTTCATATCTGGCCTCAGTTACTTACTTACTGCCTATGTGACCCTTGGCAAGTCATTTAACCCTGTTTGCCTCAGTTTCCTCATCTGTAAAATGAGCTGGAGAAGGAAATGGCAAACCACTTCAGTATCTCTGCCAAGAAAACTCCAAATGGAGTCATGAAGAATCAGACACAACCGAAAAACTACTCAAGAGCACTCTCTCACTGGAGAATCCACTCCTCAAGTGAAGGCTAGATGTTATAGAAGGGATTCATGCTCTGAGGAAGGATCGTGCAAAGGGGGTCACAAAAAGTCAGATGGGACTTAAAAAACATGACTCACAACAAAGGATACTAAACATTCAAGTTATTCTGTAAGCTAATTGGTCAACAAGTACCCATTAAGCACATTCTAAGTGCCTGGCTCTGAGTTCTAGGGACACAAAGTAACAAAGAAGACAGTTCATCAAGGAGCTCATAATCTAATGGGGGAGACAATATGAAACAATTATGTACAAATCACTATATATGCAGGATCAACTGGAGATAATCAACAGAAGGAAGACCATACAATTCAAGGAGATCAGGAAAGGCTTCCTGTAGAAGGTAAGATTTTAGCTGGGATTTGAAAGAAGAAAGAGAAACCAGGAGGTGGAGAGGAGAGAGAAAATTCCAGGCTTGGGCAACAGCAAGAGAAAATGCTTGGAACTGGGAGAAGGTCCAGCTAATGGAAGGAATATGATGTCTAAGACGACTAAAAAAGTAGGGCGTGGGGAGGCAGGTTATGAAGGACTTTGAAAAATTTTGTATTTGATCCTAGAGGTGACAGGGAGCCACTGGAGTTTATTGAATGTAACATGGATAGACCTCAACTGTTGAATGATCACTTTAACAGCTGAGAGAAGAATGACCTGAAGTGGGGAGAGGAAAACGAAGAGGCTATATAAGAAGACCTCATGACAGGTGGTACTGAGAAGATGCAGAAGAGGCAATGAGAAAGTTTATAGAGCCCACAGTTCTTCAATTAACCTTGATACCATTACTAAATATTGTGTTATTTCACAACAAAAGGAACAAAAGAGCCTCCACCACCCCTGAATGCAATGGCCCTGATGGACTCAAGTGTTTTTATTCTGGATCACTGGGGAATGTTCTATAAATGCTGTTCTCCTCTTTTAATATTTCCTGGTAAGACTATCTTTGAAGGCCCTGTAATCACTTTAATAATTTGTTGCTCTTTATAAGGCTTTATATGGCTACCAAAAGAGAGAGAAAGCTACATCTACCAAAATTTGGAGACATTAAACAAATTTAATTAACATCCAGTTGCATTCATTGCACAAAAGCCTCAGAAAAGAATAAATTTAGTTTTAAGTGTAAAACTATTCCCTTGATCTTAATCTAATGACCATCAAGCAAAGTGACTGCACCTTAGGAACAGCCTAGCAACAAAGTCTGCTGCATTGGAGTCAGGGAATTTGAGGTGGAAACTCAGCTCCTTACTGCTTAGAGGAGACCTTGGATAAGTTGTTCACTCAACCCTTCAGCCCTAACTTTCCACGTATGTAAAATCCAGAATTGGCCAAGGTGACCTCTAAGCAAAGATTACTGGATCTGGAGTAAATTACGAAGCACTGTTTAATTTGGTTGTCAGGGAGTTGTATGAGCTTTAAATCAAATTTAGAAATGACTTATTTATTCAGGATTTCTTCATAGAAATCATTACTATCTGGGCCAGATCTAAAAAGATCTTTTTATTGTCCTAGCACTCAGAATTCCTCACTTTCAAATTCTCTTATTTTTAAATTTTTCATTCATATTACTCAAGGACATTTCTCTAAAGTATTTCAGATATATTTCTATGCATTTCTTTTTTTAGATGTATTTTTTAAAATTATTTTCTGAAATTTTATTTATTTTTAGTTTTCAACATTCAGTTTTATAAGATTTTGCCTCCTCCCTCCCCAAGATGGCATGCAATCTGACATAGACTATATACATACAATCATATTAAGCATATTTCCACATTAGTCATGTTGTGAAAGAAGAATCAGAACAAAAAGGGAAGAACCACAAGAAAAGAAAAGAGAGAGAAGATAGTATGCTTTGATTCACATTCAGACTCCATAATTCTTTCTCGGAATGTGGACAGCATTTTCCATGAGTCTTTTGGAATTGTCTTAGATCACTGAATTGCTGAGAAGAGCTAAGCTAGCTATCAAAGCTGGTCACTGCACAATGTTGCTGTTACTGTGTACAATATACATATATTTCTAAACCAACTGCCCATATACAAACATGGCAAGTCAGAAAACCTGAGCAAATCAGTGCTACTAGAATTCATGCTAATTTATAAACTGGATGATAAAATACAAACTTTAGTCACTCTGGTGAAGTTTATGATATTGAAACTTAAATTCAAATTTTAAAAAATTCCACATTATAATTAGTGAATATCTATCCACAGGACTTAAGAGCAGGTACTTTTTTTTAATGTTGTCTTGTTACTCCCAGAGCCAAACAGAGTGCTTTTGCACCTATAAAGTGTGTAATGAATGCTCGTCAAATCAAATTGTTTCACTTTCACTCTAAAAGCAAAATACATTTACATGTAACATTAACATCTTGTACATGCTATAAGCAAATCAGCTCTGGTTTTAGAACTTTACTGTGTACTGAAACACTTCTCACTGCAACTTTCTCCAGCAAGCTCCTGGAGGGCAATTGCTTTGGTTTTGTCTTTGTATACATTGTGCCAGTCCATAGAAGGTAAATTACTAACTCCTTGTTGAACATTCTATTCCACTACACCAAATGGCCTCTCAGTTTAAATGTTTTTTTAAATAAGTCCTACAAATTCAACTGAAATTAAGATTCTGTATTTAGAACCCTATTTTCAACTTGATCTTTGTTTACATTTATGTAAAAATTTGGCATGAATTTTAAACCATTAATAATAGCTACAATTTACACAGTGATCATTCTGTGCCAGACACTTTTTTTTAAACAAATACATATGTATGTATGTATATATATATATCACCTCATTTGACCCTCACAACAACCCTTCCAGGTAGATAAACATTTATTACCCCCACCTTGCAGTTCAGGAAATCGAGGTAAACAAAGGAGAAGTGACTTGTCCAGGGTCACATTGCTAGTGTCTGTGCCTAAATTTGAAGTCAGGTCTTTCTGACTCCAGACCTAGTAGTCTATATAATGCACACCTATGAAAAATTTAGGTCACAATTCTTCCCCACTATCCCTAGGTTTTGTTTCTTTAGAAAATCCAACCTGAGATATTAATCTTCTTGAAAAGACAGAATGAGAAAAAACCTCAAAAGAAAAATTATAATTGCAATCTGTAGTTTATGTTAGCCGTACCATTAAAAACATGAAGAAATAGCACTTAGCAGTCAGGACTGGACTTACTCAGGAGCCAAGGGGAAAATGAGCTTTGGTTTGAAGGCCTCAGTTGTCTCTTTGACTTCAAATCTAAGTTGTTAATTCCACAAGCATTAAAGCAGTATGCTAATACTTACTGAACAATTACATTTGTAAGGCTTGGGGAGAAAGACCAGTTCTAAAGCAAAGAAGCAGTCAGTTCTTCCTTATTCTCTTATTTTTTATATAAAAATATAAAAACCCAAAACAAAAACAGCCGAAAAAACCTCTCTGTACTGAAGCAATTTTCTACTATACAAAATTTCCGTAAAAGTAATAATTTTTTAAAAAATAGATCTGTAGGACCAACAAGATATATTCTGAAAGTTTGTAATAAAAACTCTTTTAAAAGAAAAGGCAGCTAGGTGGCACAATGGATAAAGGAGCTTTGGACTTGAAATCAGGAAGACCTCAGCTCCAATACAATCTCTGACACTATTACCTTGAGCACTTAAGTGCTCTGTGCCTCAGTTTCCTCTGCTGTAAAATGGGGATAAAAATTGAACCTACATTCCGGGATTGTTGTGAAGATCAAATACGATAATATTTGTAAAGCGCTAGCTCAGTGCTTGGCATATAGTAAGCACTATATAACAACGTTGATTAACTATTATTATTATTATTGTTGTTGTTGTTGTTGTTCTGGGGCAGGATCTGAACTCAGGTCACCATGACTCCAAGACCACCGCACTAGCCACTTCCTGGTTTTGTCAGCCACAGCCATCTGGAGAGTAAGATTCCAAGCTGTGACCCCTGAGGTCCCGTGGGATGGGGGGGCGGGGCGCGGCGGCGGGACCGGGCCTGGTTTGCGCCTGCTCCGTCGGCTCCACCTCGGCCTTGACACCTCCTTCCCTTCCTCCCTCCCTCCCTCTCTCAGATCCCGGAGGGGGCGGGACAGAGTCACGGCCGTCGCTGGCCCCGCCCTCCTCCGCCCTGGCCCGGCCTCTCGGGGAAGCCCCTTGGCCCCACCCCGGGCCAAAGCCCGCCCTCCTCCTTCCTTCCTGTGGGATGTGCCCGCTCGCTTCGAGTCCCCCACCCGCCGGCCGGCTCTGTCAGGCCGCGGTGGCCTTAGGGACCCCAGGACGCCGGCGGGGCGCGGGCACGGAGCGGGGACCTTCCCCCTTCGCCCTCCTCCCCCCGTCCTCACCTCGCCACCAGTAGTTCTTGGACAGGTCGTGCCACGTCTGGTGCCTGGTGTGGTGGGTGCCGTCGGGCCCCAGGTGCGCCGCCTCGATGAGCCCCCGACGCCTCTCGGGCTGCAGCACCACCTCGAGCTCGGCGAAGCGCTGGCGATGGCGCTGCCGCCGCTGGTAGTAGAGGATCCCGCCGCGCACCACGTAGCAGGCGGCCGCCTTGCGGATCTTGCGCTTGGCGTTGCCCTCGGTGCCCGGCGCGTACGGCTCCTGCTCATTCGTCAGGTAGCGCAGGATGGCCCGGTAGCTCTCCTCGCTCGACATCCCGGACGACTTGGTCACCTGGCCGCTCTGCCTCGGGCCCTGGCCTGTGACAACTGGAGGGCACACTGGCCCTGGGGAAGGCCAATCTTCCTGTCCGGCCACCCCTCCGACGGCGCCCGCGGGAAGAGGTGGTGGGGGTGGGGGGCGGTGACCGGAGGGTTGTTAACCAGGGGGAACTGCACTTTCCCAGCGCGCGGGATCCGCTTGTGGCAGACAAAATGGCTGCTGCACCACCGGAAGTGACGCGGGCTAAGAGGACGGCGTTAGCCCTCGGGTGGTGCGTACTCTACCTGAAGAGGCACGAATAGACTTCAAGGCGCATGGACGTCATGTTGGAAGTGGGCAGGCTAGGACAGGAAGTGCTTTTGATTGGCCATCTTAAGTTCTGGCACTTTCCCTTTTGATTTTCCTCTTTTTAGCTGTGAGGGCTGTCGTACCGGGAGTAACCAGAAACACTTCGTTTTTAAGGAACCGCGAAGTAAAAAAGAGATAAGTAGATATGCTTTTTTGCCCACCTATCACAGAATTAAGGAGTCTTACCCTTCCTCATCCCACATCACCCCCACTTTCCGGAGGTGGGAGGGTCCACGGGAATCTCACCAGATTTTCTTGATGTACTGATTGGTTTTGCTGATTATTTTGTCTTCACCCTCTTTTTTTAAGTATTTGTCTAAACAAAAAAAATTGCTTAAAAAAATCAGATGTAAGGAGTTTCCATTCTAACGAGAGAAGCCTACCCACTGCCCAATTTGTGGCCAGGGAGAGGCGTTTTAAAAAGGATGGCTCCCAGAGAAGGAAGAGAGGGAAAACAAGATTAATAAAAATCGATTTTTTTAAGGAGTCTAGACCCTGGATTCAAAATCCCTTTGCTCTCAATCGTATCATATAGCATAGACTTGTTAGTCGGTCCTTTAATCAACGACTAGCTTTTGAGTAGGGGTTCTTAAGGTAAATTCATACTGGATATCGAGGTATGTCTGTCTATAATTGCCTTCCTTTTTAATCCTGACACACAAAGATTAAGGACCCCAGCACAACACATACACTCAGTATTTAGCAGTTATTTGTACTCCTAACATCCCTCCCCCACACAATAAAGGGAAGCCCACGAATTGTTTTCGCAGCTACTCAAGGGAAGGAAGGTTCTGTAATTTATGTCTTAGAAAGCTGACTTGCCTCGAGAGGTGAGGTGATTTTCCTCAAGGTCACTGAGTCTGTGTCAGTGGTGAGTCTTGAACCAATTAACTGACGCCGGATCTTCCTGAGGCTAGTTCATTATCCACCACTCTGAGCTGCTCCCTTACCAAGAATTTCTGATCCTGAAAATATTGCATGTGCCTAAAATGAGATAATATTTGTGAAGTGTTTAGCTCAGTTTGTGGCACATAGGCATGATATAAATATTATTCTAAAAAAACCACTTGAATTCCACTTCACATTATTACCAGTCCTAGATCAGCTTTTACCTAATCTAATCTTAGAAAAACAAAATCCTATCTTCCTTCCTTTTGTCCTAGGAAAGGGTAATTTAACCCCTCCCTCTCCATTACAATTTGATCTCATTTCTCTTTACTCCCTCTTACATCTGAATGATACTTATTATGAACTTTTTAGGTACTAAAAGCTGAGATGCCATTAAAAAAGCCAGCAGTTAAGTGGCCTAGTGGATAAGGCACTGGGCTTGCAATCCAGAAGACCTGAGTTCAGTTGTGACCTCAGACCCTTACTAGCTATGTGACACTGGGCAAATCACTTAAACACTGTTTTGCCTCAGTTTCCTCCTCTGTAAAATGAGCTGGAGAAGGAAGTGGCAAACCACTCCAGTATCTTTGCCAAGAAAACCCCAAATAGAGTCACAGTTGGCCAATGACTGTAACCACAATCAGCTGTTAAAAGGAGTTTACATTCTAATGGGGCAAGACTAATTTGTGGCCAGGGAGGGGGACTTTGGTACTTAAAGTTATATATTGAGGGTGAGATGAGGGGTGGGGCCAAAGAGAATAAATTGACATACTATTTAGGAAAAATTAACTTGATTTGATCTTGGTTCCCAAAATTGGAAAGGGGGAGGGGCAGGAAAGAAAGTAAAGGCTGTGTGAGTGTAGAGGAGGTGGGCACATGGAAGGGATTTAAGTGAAGGAAGGTGGCTGGGGCATTCCAGAAATAATGCTCTGTAAGAGAGTACCAATTAGGAGAGCAGGGACCCCAGATAGTTCCTCTAAGCAGGGGTGGAAACCTGCAAGTCTCAAGGTGACATGTGGCCTTCTGGGTCCTTACGTGTGGTCTTTTGACTGAATCCAAGTTTTACAGAACAAATCCTTTTATTAAGCGAATTTGTTCTGTGAAATTTAGATTCAGCCAAAAGGCTGAACCTGAGGATCTAGAGGGCCATATGTGGCCTCGAGGCTGCAGGTTCTCCACCCCTGCCTAGAGCATGGTCTGTGGCACTGGGGAAAGCGGCTGCCCAGTGTTGGACAGTACTTCCAACTGGAAAGCACTTTAGGAAGAGTCGTTATGGAATTTTGGAAAGAGACTTGGGAAGATGGGTTAAAACCCCACCTGAGGCATTTAGTAGTTGTTACCTGGGTTGTCACTTAACAGGTTCACAACCTATGAGTCATCTTGGATTCTTCACACACACCCCCATATGGAACTGTCAAAGCCTGTCAGTGTCATCTTTGTAATAATGGTGTTGCCACACTGCCACCACTCTAGTGCAGGCCCTCATCACCTCACCTGATCTGTTGGCAATGTCCTGTGGGTGGGTCCTATCTGCCTCAAATCTCTCTCCTTTCTCATCCATCCTCTGTTCAACTATTTTCCTAAAGCAAATGTCTGATGATGCCCTCCCCCCAGTAAATTCCAGTGGCTCTCTATTAGTTCCAGTCCCCTGCCATCTTTCCAGTTTTCTTACACTTCACTCCCCCGTATGCATACTTTCATTCAGTGATACTAGTTCCTGACTGTTAACATTCTCTTGACGTTTTCTTTGGCCATCCCTCAGGTGTGGACCTCTCTTTCCCCTCTCAACTTTGCCTACTGACTTCCTTTAAATTCCATCTAAAATCTCATCTTTTACAGGAAACCTTTTCCAATACCTCTTTAATTCTAGTACCTTCTCTCTCTTAATTCCTGTATATAGCTTCTTTGTACATCTTTCCCATTAGGTTATAAGCTCCTTGTGGGTGAATTTGCAGAAATCCAGTATAGTCAGGAAAATGAGTTTCTCCTTGGACTGAAAATCAGGCGACACTCAGTGTGATCTAGGCTTCAATCCTAGATATTTTACACTAGTCCAGATTTCAAGACAAGCCAGATCAGTCTCTTCTGGCTTGTTTTAACATGGCCCACTCCATTTTCCTTATCCATGCTTATGCATAAAGCATTCTCACCTGCAAAAAGTTTTCTTTACCATCAGGCCTTTTTCTACACTCCCAGCTGCTAGCACCATGTATTTTTATGTACACAACCCCTAGATTGGAGGAGCAAGACTGTTCATTTCCTTTGTATCCCCAGGGCCTCTGGGAAAATGAGTAGTTTTTAAAAATGCCAATTGACTTGACGTAATGGCTTGGTCAAAAACCAGAACTGAATCCTAGAAATTAGTTTTTGACAAAACCACAAACAAGAAATACTTTATCCCACTGTGTCAAACATAAAATACTATTAAAAAACTTAAAATTATTGTTGCTTATGAATCTATAACGTGATTACATTTAATAATAATTGATTGGAGGAATGGCCAACAAATTATGGCACACGAATGTAATGAAGTATTACTGTGCTAAAGAAGACAGTGAATGCAGAGGACTGATGCAAAGTACATAAAGTTAGGAAAACAATATAGTTACTACAATGTAAATGAAAATAATATCTACAAAACAACTGAAACTGAGCAAATAAAGAAAAATTGACCCGAAAGAACACATAGATACTAAAAGACACCTTATGACACCTTCCCTTCCTCTCCATAACACTGTAAATCAGATTTTTAAAAAAATATACTGGACTTTTTCATTGTTCCTCTTTTAAAAAATTATAATGGCTCTCTGCCAGAAGGAAAAGAATACAGGGTGAAATGTAGGCAATGTAAAAAAATGATAAATTCACTTGAAAAATAGCTCTCTTTGTGGCAGCAAAGAATTAGAAATTACAGGGATGCCTATCAATTTGGAATACTATTGTGGTGTAAGAAATGAGCTAAATGACCTTAGAAAAATACACAAGATAATGAAGAGCAAAATGAACAGAACCAAGAAGACGTGGTATACCATAACAGCAACACTATTCTAAGAATGACTTTGAATAAGTTATTTTGACTATTATAAATATCCAAATTAACTATAAGAGAAGAAAGCTATCTACATCCAGAGAAAGAACTGATAAAAAGAAGAACATATTGAATAATTTTATACATATACCTATTTGTGCTTAATGGTAACCATGTCTAGGGCTAGGGTGGGGAGGGGGGAGGAAAAAAGAAATTTACATGATAGTTTTGTTGTACATTTGAAAGTAATAGCAATTTGTGCATATTAAGAGTTGCAGTTTTGTGTGCAGTCATCTTTTTTATGTTATGGAAATGCTTTTTTCCCCATAAATTAAAAATGAAAAATAAAGGGAAAAGAATTACTTTTAACATTGGCATATGTCTCATTGCCAAACCTAAGCAAACTAAGAATCCAGCAATCTGCATAAAGGGCAAAATGATCTAATTTTATGGTGTTTTTTTATGTCATATGAAAATACTGGAAATTCAACTTGATAAAAGAGTATGCAATGTCAAAAACTTTCACGATTTAAAGGCAATTCCATCATTTCCCCAGTTCAGAACAGCTTGATTTTTAGCAAAAATAAAACAAGTATGCTTCTTAAGCAATCATGAACTTCATGAAGCCAAATCTTAAACGTTCATAGTATGAGGTAAAATTCATAAATCACTTGAGGTCAACACTGTTGCTTTAAAGTTTATTTTACTTAATCCAACTTAGTAGACAATTAACGTTTTCCACCAACTCGGGGTGCAGAAACTTTCACCGGCTTCACAATTTTTTGTTTAGGTGCAGCCTTTGTAGGAGCCTATAAAAAGACAGGAATTAATATGCCATGATTCCAATTTTCCTTTACATCATTCAATAATTTATCATTTCAAATCAAGCACAAAAATAAAACTGCCACCAACCCCCCTTTTCTTCCCTTTCCTCCTCTTCAAACCCATCCAGCCCCTTATGTAGATCTGGTCCCAAGTCTAGTATTGGTATATACCTGGCTTAAGATTCTTTACAATGCTTCTTAGGGAGACCTAAGACTAGCTTTGGGATACACTGATAAACACAGGCGACTAGACCAGTTATTTCACTGGTAACAGTAGTAATAATTATGAGATAGCTAACATTTACATAGTGCTTACTATGTGCAGGCACTATGCTAAACACTTTACAATTATTACCTCATTCCATTGTCTCAACAACCATGAAAGAAAGGTGCCATTATTATCCTCATTTTACTGAGGAAGAAACTGAGGCACAGAGGTTAAGTGACTTGCCCATGGTCACACAGCTAATAAGTATCTGAGATTGGATGTGAACTTGGGGGTTCTAAACTCCAGACCCAGAGCTCTATCCAATGCAGGTCAGCATCTTCTCTGCAACTTAAAACTAGGAAACAAAAGAAGCTGTTTATTTGTGACTGTGCCCCTCCATTTGCCTACTCTGGCCATTTTTTACTGCTTTTTAAAAGTCAGACAATCCAAGTGCCCAGTTTTAATTTTACCTAGCACTTGCCTTTCACGTGGACAAGCAACAGGAAATATGGATCCACTAAAACCTAACACCACAAAAGACCCAAGACCCCTGACGATGTTCCTTACACATTCTACATCCCTACTTTCTGACATCAACAATCAGTCCATTCAGCAAAATTCAAAGCCTCAGACACTTCTTTACCCCCCTTAACTGCCTACATATGGAGGTGGTCTTGTTTATACACTTCCAATGTTCAAATGATGACATAATGAGACCAGTTCCAGTTACCTGAAACCACCTCCATCTTCAATAGTCCCAATTATAGTCACCCAGCTTCTGCCTGAACTACTTTCCCCCATACTGCAGTGATTTAACATTCAAAGTAAATATACTCTAGGAACCAGAGTATGACAATGATTACCTTAGCAGCAGATGCAGCTGTCTTCTTAGTTGCTTGCTTAGCCTTTTTTGCTTCCTTGGCAGCCCTGGAAAGTGAAAATTATCTTAAGCAGAAATACAAAATTGGAAAAGTGGAACCAGGTGTTAGTAGCAAAACAGAAAACAATTCCCAACCACTCTCCCACCCTAAAGAACATTTCATTTCCAACATGAATCTGAAAACATTCTTATGTTCCCAGAGCAAAGCACATGTGGGGAATGGGGTGGGCATTAGCAGCGTGGGGTAAGGGTTAGCACTATGAATGCAATAGCATTTATACCCTAAAGCTACACAATCACCAATTTTGCAGCTTCATTCAGCTTCAATGTAGGGCTACTTATCATTAATCTTGAGATTAGCAAGCAGCAAAACATTTGGGGAAAAAAAAAACAACTTTTATTTACCATCCCATAACCAATTTGTGGTAACAGGAAAAGAATGTCTCTGATCTGTATCCTATTGAAGACAGCAAATGTTCATAGGCCACACAATGGCCATAATAGCTATATACATCTTTTTGGTATTAGCTTTTAACATTACATATATGTCAACAGACTAATGAGGACAAGTGTGACAGTTAACACTGCAAACTAATAAATGAGTCCTCACCTGATGGCTTGTTCTCGTTGGGCCTTTCGAACTTCAGGTTTCTGGTTCCTCTTGGCCATTATATCAGCAAGAGAAGCCCCAGTGATGGCCCTCTGGAATTTAACAGCGCGGCGAGTTCTTTTCTTTTGAATCTCTTCCTAAAGAAAATTAACAGCATTTCATTAACTGGGGAGTCTGAAGAAGAGTTAACCATAGGAAGAATTAGAACACTGACTTAGAAACAATCTAGTGCAATCTCCCTCATTTTATAGATAAGGTCCAGAGAGAACAGCTTGCCCAAGGCCACATGGTTACTAACAGCCAAGACAGGAATTGATCCCAGGTTGTGACCAAATTCAGTGCACTTCCTACTAATATATTTGGAAGAAATGCTTATAAAACGTGCCCATTTTATTATTTTAAGGGCAGGGAGCCAAAAGAGGGCATGTATTCAGTAAAATAATTCCACTTCAAATATTCAGTTGCAAATGCCCCTCCATTTGCCTACTCTGGCCATTTTTTACTGCTTTTTAAAAGTTAGACAATCCAAGTGCCCAGTTTAATTTTACCTAGCACTTGCCTTTCACATGGACAAGCAACAGGAAATATGGATCCACTAAAACCTAACACCACAAAAGACCCAAGACCCCTGACAATGTTCCTTACACATTCTACATCCCTACTTTCTGACATCAACAATCGTTCCATTCAGCAAAATTCAAAGCCTCAGACACTTCTTTGCCCCCTTAACTGCCTATATATCAACTGCCAAGACTTGCCAATTCTACCTCCAGATCATTTCGCCAACATATTTCATCATCTCCATTTTCAAGCCTGCAGCTCTAATTCAAGCCCCATCAATATTTCTTAATTGGTCTTTGGACCTATACAGTCCCACTATACACTAAAATATACGATAATTACACCTTACAAAGTGGTACTCCTTAAAGCACCTATCTGTCTTGCTAAAAAAAGTTTTCAGTAGACTACATACACTGCACAATGTGGCTTTCTTTCCACTCATTATGTACTCCACTCCACCAAAGTACCCTATGTCCCAGTCAAACTGACCTATTTACTACTCTTTACACATGACCCTCTGGGTCTAGCATGACTGTCTTCTTGATCTAAGCATATCAGAAGCCCTAGCTTGTTTGAAACCTCAGCTTCTTCCACCTCCTAAAGGTGATTTAGGTCATTCAGCAGGTTCACCTCAAGTGCTAGGCATCCTCTTGTCTCAAATCTTTGTATTTACTTATATTTGTACATATTTTCCCAATGCTAGAAATAAATTCCTTTGGGGCAGAGATAATTTAATGTTTGTCTACCACTAGGACCTTGTACAGTATATGGCTCCTAATAAATGCTTGCTGATAAGCATCTGCATAAAAATATAAGTGATGACCACAGCATTTGATATTAGATAAAGCGGGGATGGGGGCAGCCTCAGAAGAAATAATCATTAAGTGCCTACTATGTGACCAGCACTATGTTAATCACTTTACAAATATTATCTCATTTGATTTTCATAACAACTCTGAGGTTGGAGCTATTATCCTCATTTTATAGTCAAGGAAACTGAGGTTGACTTATGACTTGCAGCATCACAAAGCTATTTAGGATGTGATGCTGGAATTTAACTCAGGTTTTCCTGACTCTGGGTCCAGGCTCAATCCTAGGTGCTTCTTAGGTTGGCAAATATATTAGAGAGAAGTATATCAAAAACAGTCCATGGGATCGGAAGGCCTGGATCATGTCTAGCTTTTTTCCTAAGCTGCCAACTGTAACTCTGGATAAGTCATAGCATCTCTGAGCCTCAGCTGTTTCATCAGCAAAACAAGGAGGTGATCTAACAGAGTTGGACCTATTCACTAGGTGATCCAATAGAGTTCACATAGCTATACAGAAAGTTGCATGTAAATGTAAACTCATTATTAGGTTTGTTTTCTTCCCAATGGAACACCTTTTAAAAGCTTGGTTCTTTAATTCCGTCCCATCCTGGCATCTCCAATTTTAGACCCTCAAACTTTCAAAGTACGTACTACTTTATTTTTATACCTCCAAAGATGTCATTTAATCCACTACTATGAGATTCTCTTTTGCTGTGATTTTCAATAGGACCCTTTGGAGTATTCCAGAACTAAATCAACACATAAGTAACCTCCAATTACATCAATATCAAATGTAACCATGTCAGAAATATCACTAAAAGAAGACCAATCCAGTTATCATCTGAAAAATTCCTATAACCTAAACTTCGTTAAAATCATTATTCTATTACAAAGGAAAATGGCAAAGTAAGGTTCTCCTTTAAGTTTACTTAAAAAAAAAAAGACACTCCAGCAATTTATCGATCTGTTCTATTTCCACCATAATACCAGCTTACGTTTTCAGTGTGTTTTGACAACCTTTAAATTAGAACCCTGGCCAGGGTTATTTTTCTAGTTGCCATGAAAGGCAGGTTGTAGCCATAAGGATGGCCCTCCAATCAAAGTCTTCCTTATGATACATATTATCTGTAACCCTAAGTTACTTAACTTTTCAGAATTTCAGGCAAGTTAGATACAACACTCATCATCTGCTTTGGGGGAACAAAGTTCCCCATCATAGGTTAAGGATGAAAAAGGCCCACTAAAATACCAAATAATTTTACTAACCGATTGTCCCTTCTTGTGTTTTCTCCTATACAGGACAGTCCAATTGATTTGCCGGGGGTTCCTCTTTGAAAGGAATGCAGACTCGCATTTTGCATTCAAAAACTGGAAGACCTGTAGTGAGAAAATTTTAACAGGTTATCCGAAATCATCAGGTACTGCACAATAGAAAGAATTATTATCGTTTTAGGCAAATGACCAATGGGAGAGACAACCCCAATTCGTAGGAAGCCAGAAGGCCATTATGATAAACTACCAGAACCTCAGCCAAAGGATAAGTTCACGAACGATGACCCAGACCTCTATATACAAACAAGTTTACGGCAACTTTTTATACTGGAAAAGAACTGGAAACTAAAGGGAACACCAGTCAATCGATTGGGAGAATGGATTGTGGCCTGTGGGATGAAAAGGATTGGGGGGGGGGGTTCAGGGAAAACTTGTATGAACTAATGCAGAGTGAAAAATCACTAAAACCAGAACTTATACAGTAACACTGTAAAAGCGAAAATCTTTACGTGGAGTAAGATTTCCGATCAATGTAATGACCAGCCATTAAATGACTATCCTACCCAGCCCGACTGGGATGACGGATTCAAAATGATGAATGAAGAATCATCGGGGGGGGGGTAACAATATGGAAATTTGTATTGCGTGATAACTCCTATTTACAGGGGTTTTACTTTATTTCCATATTGGAGTGGGGGCGGAAATGAATGTTTGTTAACAAAAAATGAAATGGGAATAAAAATCGAGCCTGGACTGCGGTCGTTAGGGCAGCATCCCCCCACGTCGGCGTCGGGAGCTCGCCGGCCGCTCGCGGTCTACCCCGGGCCCGCCCGGCGGCTCCGTCACGTCCCGGGGCCCGAGAACGGCGCGAGCGCGTCTCACCTTCCCGTCCGTGCGGGCGTAGCGCCTCCCGTGACCTGGGTAGATCTTGTACCCGCTGAAGCTGCACAGCTCGACCCTGAAACGAAAACCACGGAGATCAGACACGGAGGCCGTCCCCAGCGAGGAAGTGCCATAGCGGCGAACGCAGCGGCCTCCGGGCCGAGGATGGCCACGGATTGGGAAGCAAGCATCTTTACTTACTTCATGGCTGCAAACGGGAGGAAGATGGCGAAGAGGAAGAGAGGATTGTGGGAAAGACTCTTATATACGCGGGCGGCCTCCTCCGCCCTCTTCCGTCGCGCGCTCACGTAGGATAACGCCACTTCCGGTAGCCAGCCAACTATTTGGGCCGTGGGACTTGTTCTTGAGGGAAGGAAAGCGACGGAAGAAGAGAACGCAAGAAATGCGGTCTTCAGTATGTAACCTAGTACTTTTTTTTATTGGATTACATCCCACAGTTTAGCTCACATTTATATTTTAGGGCTTTATATAAAACCGCCCTGTAAACTAAGCAGGAAAATTCTTGTCCCGGATTTATAGATGAAGAAACAGGCTCCAGGAAGGAACACGACTTGTACGTAGTTACTAAGTTACTAAGTGGCAGCCATTATTCGAAACTGCAAGCTGAAGTAGAGTTCTTCCCCGGTGACGAACCAGATGACAAACTCAGCACCGTGCCGCCGTGCCCGAGGGAACAAGTCAAACTGACCCCTTGGTCACGGTGTGACCGTGAGCTTGACAAAGTTCCGCATCCGCACCACAAGAGCTCCATCGTCGCCCGTTCGGCACGGTCACGCCGAGGCAGCCCACGACCACCCATTCCGTCCTTCCTCTCTGCGCCGGCGTCCGTCCTCTCTGTCACTCGGCTCCGGGGATGCAGGGAATACCGGCACGTCGGGGTCTGAAAGCCAGCGGGGCGGGCTCTAGCCTGAGGTGATCCCTGAGTGGCTGGCGGGGAGGTGGGGGCAGGTGATGGGCGGGATCAGCGACTCCCTCACCCTCCTCTCTGTCGCGGAGGAAGGGACTTCCGGGGTACTGCCTCGGCACATGCGCAGGGCCCGGAGTTTAGGAGGAGGTGGGAGCCTAGTCGGCCCCGCCCCTTCCTCCTGCCCCTCACTCGCCCTGCAGTGTCGGCTCGGGGGAAAAGTGGAGATGAGCGGGGACAAGCCTGGGGCCAGAGTCTGCTCCCTCACTTAGTATCCTCATTTTACAGTTGAGTAAATTGAGGCAGACAACAGTTAAGTGACTAGCCCAGGGGCATGCTGTAATTGTCTGAGGCCATATTTGAATTCAGCTCTTCCTGACTCCCAGCTCAGCAGCAGCCTAGTCCTCTGCACCATTTGATACCTCGAGGATAAAAGGTGAAAAAAGGCCACTTGGACCTATTAATTTAGAGGTTTTTGGTAACATAGGAGGGGGTAGTTTCAGCCTACCTGAGGATCAGAAGCCAGACTGCAAGCTGTTGAAAGGCAGAAGGTGGGAAAGAAAGTAAAGAATGAAAGGGGAAGGTGACTGTGATAGTACGTTTTGAGTGAGTCATTTTCTCTGAGCCTCAGGTTTTTAAAACTTTTGTTAAATTTTGCCTTTTTTAAACAAGCATTTATTGTCTCTCCCATTCTCTCCTCCACAGGAAAGAGAATAGGAAAACTCTCATAACAAATTCCCACACTGGCCACATCCAAAAACGTGTTCTTCATTCTGCCTAGGTAAACAGGTTATGGGCTAAATCTGCCACAGCTTCTTCATCTGAAAAATGGAAAGGTTGAACACTGATGCCATTTACCCCCAAATCTCCCTTCTGTTGGCTCCTTTCCTACTGCCCACAAACAGGGAGATTTCCCTCATTCTTCCTATCACAGTCTAAACCTTCCCCTTTCATTCTTTACTTTCTTTCCCACCTTCTGCCTTTCAACTGCTTGCAGTCTGGCTTCTGATCCTCAGGTAGGCTGAAACTACCCCCTCCCATGTTACCAAAAACCTCTAAATTAATAGGTCCAAGTGGCCTTTTTTCACCTTTTATCTTCGAGGTATCAAATGGTGCAGAGGATTAGGCTGCTGCTGAGCTGGGAGTCAGGAAGAGCTGAATTCAAATATGGCCTCAGACAATTACTGCATGACCCTGGGCTAGTCACTTAACTGTTGTCTGCCTCAATTTACTCAACTTAAAATGAGGATAATAATAGCAAATTACCTCCTAGGCCTGTTGTAAGAATCAAATGGGATAATATTTATACAAGGCCTGGCATATAATAGGTGCTTGATAAATGCCTTTCCCTTTTGTCCTATCTGCAGTATTTGACACTGCTTTCCAGTCCCGTTCCTTGTCCTTGACAACTTTCAGCCACCTTTGATTCTGTTGACTTCCCCTGGCTATTGAGTTTTAATGAAATTGCTCTCTCCAATCTCTCTGATCCTTCTCATTTTCTGCAGTCACTATGTTCTTACCTTTTAAAAAAAATTCCCCCCAGTAACATGTAAAAACAATTTTAACATGTTATTTAAGTCTTGAGTTCTAAATTCTATCCCTCTCTTTTTTCCCTTCCCCCTCCCTGAGACAATAAGCAATCTGATACAGGTTATACATGTGCAATGGTGTAAAACATATTTCCATATTAGTCACTTTGTGCAAGAAGACTTGAAAGAAAGGAAGGAAAAGAGAAAGGAAAGAAAGAAGTGAAAATAGTATGCTTCGTTCTGTATTCATACGGTATCTGTGATTGTATTCATACAACATCATCTCTTTCTCTGGAGGCAGATAGTATTTTTCAGCATGAGGCCTTTGGGATTGTCTTGAATTACTGTATTGCCAAGAAGAGTTAAGTCAGTCATAGTTTATCATCACACAGTTCCTGTTACTGTGTACAGTGTTCTCCTGGTTTTGCTCACTTCACTTTGCGTCAGTTTATGTTAGTCTTTCCAGGTTTTTCTGAAATCCTCCTGCTTGTCATTTCTTATAGCACAATAATATTCCATTGCAATCATGCAGTAGCTTGTTCAGCCAGTTGATAGGCATCCCCTCAATTTCCACTTCTTTGCCACCACAAAAAGAGCTGCTATAAATGTTGTTGTGCGTTTATGTCCTTTACCCTTTTTTATGATCTTTTTCGGATACAGACCTAGTGGTGGTATTTGCTGGATCAAAGGATATGCACAATTTATCTTAACTCTTTTTTTATTCACTTCCTTGTTAATCTCATCAGTTCCCAGGAGTTCAACTTCCATTTCTATAAATGCCTGTTGATTGATTAATATAAATGAATACCATACCTGCATATCCAGTTCTCATTTCTTTCCCGAACTCTAGTCATACATATATCCCTGTGCCTGCTGCCCATGTCTACCTGAATATCTTTCTGGGCCAGCGCTGATTCAAGCCAGTCTGGTGGTTCCTGTTCAGAATTGAAATTCCAATCAGAATGAAATGAAACACTCATAAACCATCTAACATTTAACAGCGCCACAACAAAATATTACATAGTAGCACATAAAGGAATTCAGCAAGGATACACTATTGGTTCAGGTGGGTACAGTTTCTTGGCTTCCATGTTTACCACAGTGGCAAGCCTGGTCAGCAGCTTTATTGTGACTGAGGAAATCCTGACTCCTGTGCTGGTCTTTTATATTTAGTTGGCCAAGAAGCTACATCTGGTAGAATTCTAGTACCCTGGATCAATTAAGTCTTCAGAATTATCTTTTAGGGGAAAAACTAGCCTAGCCTATGTGGAATAGATACTGTTCTCACCACAATATCACAGATACTTAGGGTATACCACCACATCCAACTCAGGGATAACTATTTTACTTTACAGGTTGGAGCTAGGAGCCAGATCTTATAAAATTAAATAGAGATTTATTCTAAAATGAAGTCCTATACTTAGTTTCAAAAAAAGCAACTGCATAAGTACACAGTGGGGAAAGTATGGCTAGATAAGATACCTGAGAGTTTTTCTGTTACTACATGCTTGGTATGAGTTGTGATAGATGATTAATTGGACCCCTATTTTATTCCAATCAATATTAGTCATTTTGTTATGATTCCACAGGAACTGTGATTATAAATTCTGTATATTAGGTCACAGAGCGGTGAACTGCAGACTGTAAGTTCCCTTACAAATCATAGGAAGCTAACTTATTTTTCTACCCTTGTTTTTCCTTGTTATGGTGACCAAGCCCAGCAAGGCAGAGTGGAAAGTCTCCCAGCTATTTTTGTTGCCCCTCTGTCCCTCATCATCCCTCTATTGCCCAAGATGGGGAGATATCCATGAGCACTTGACCAAGAAGTAGCCCTGTTTGCTGGTCTGTGGTCTGCCTGTCTATTGGCCCATTGGACCACGTAGATGTTTTGATATCTGTTTATCAGCCCAGCCCATAGGCTGCTCACTGGCTCAGTAGTACCTCCTGAAAGATCAAGATTGGTCTGTTAGGTATGTTCACTGGCTTGTTTGTCAACCAATGGGATTCTGTACTTTGTGTAGACCCTCCTGGAGGGTCAAGGCCAAGAGCTGTCAACCAATAAGACTGTATTTTACTGTGCCTCTTATATATCATCTGGCTATCAAGCACTGTAAAATTGAGGCCCTGTGAGAAGGGGGCACCTCAGATCATAGGGAAGATGTAAGGTCTGCTTCATTGGAGAAACCCTTTAATAAAGTGCTGTTGACTTGGAGTTCTGCCTTAGTTTCTTTTATTGAAGATTGGATAATTTTGGACCCCACAGAGTCAAAGGTGTGATAGGATAAACAAAGCTAAATTATAGTATTTAGAATGAGTTGAAAGTCCTAATGTGCCCTGCCATGGTTGACCAATACCTAGAGTATTATGTCCAGCCCCAAATGATACATTTTAGGATGGACTTTCATAAGTTAGAATATATCAAAAGAAACCCAGCCAATATTAATTAACATAGCTCCTACTATGTGCCAGGCATTGTGCTAGGTGCTGGGGATATAAATGCAATGAGTGAAATAATCCTTACTCTCAAGGACCCAGAATTGAGCACATACTCCAAATGTGATCTGATTGAGAGTAGAATACAGTGCAACCATCCCCTCCTTAGTCCTGAAGCCTATGCCTCTTATGATGTATCCTTTAGCCTGAAGTGTACAAAAAACCTCACACTTTTTAGATGAATTACTCTCTAGCTACATATCTCCCAGACCTTGTACTTGTGAAATTGCTTTATTAAACCCAAGTGTAAGACTTCACATTTATCCCTGTTGAATTTCATCCTGCAAGATTCAGCCGAATGTTCAAGCATCTCCAGATCTTTTAGAATCCTAACTCTTACCATCTAACTTGTTAACTAATTCTCTCATTTTGTGCCACTGTTATAAATTTGAGGAGCATCCTATCTATGCTTTTATTCATATCATTGATAATAATGTTAAACCCTGGAAAGCCAAGCACAGATCCCTGGGAGTACACTATA